TTAAATCCATGTCTTCATACAAAACAAATAGAAAATAAAACAAAAAAACAAAATTCAAGATATGTTACTAAGCTCTTACAATTGAAGATCAACATGCCTTTCTAAAATATATATATATATTGAAAGAAGACGTACCTGAAAATCAAGAGGAATGGAAACCCAAAATCGATGCTTTAATATGCCAACCGCTTGCCCTGAAAATACCTAACCATGAATTTGATGCTTGAAATCAATATATTAGAGGCTATATGTAGTGTAGGCATAGGAAATAAGAATTGATAAGGTTACAAAGAGATATTGATAAGAACATTAAAAGTATGTTTATCTTAATTTAAGTTGCTTAAAGCACGTAAATTTGGGTAGAAAATAAGAATCCTATAATATTAAGAATTCTTATAGGAAAAAAACCATAATCGTCCAAATAACTTTGGGTAGGAAATAAGACCTTATGTGACCCGTACTATGCACGTATATAAACCTGTACGTAATAAATTTACAAATGCGTTATCAAGATAAATTTTACCGACCTTAAAAGACCACTTCCACTATATCGAGTCCTTTAAGTGCATGGACTCTTATGATGTGTGTCCACACACGAAATACTCCCCACCATCTGAGCAGAGATGTATTGTGATTAAGGAATTATTAGCAGAAATATATTAAAAAAAAAGACGGGCGGAGGACACTACGGATACTACGGACGGAGGCCTTTCTCTTGGATTGAAGGACACTACGGACGAAGGGTCGGGTAGGGGCCTTCGGGGTGCAAAACTTCAACAAATACCTAATGTTTTATCTCATCTTTCTTTAGCTATGATAATGGGATTTTATTTCTTTGGTTGATGACACTCCATTTTCTTTATGGACTTTTCCAGAAATTTTCAATCAGATGAAGTGCCATTTCTCTTTGTACTTCAATTATGCATGGGGACTGTGAGTCTTGAAAAACTTTCTTGGGCTAACTTTCTTTAATTTTCATGTCTAGATTGTTTGTATGTTGTTCTATATATATGTAGATTATCTTAAAATAAAAAGGATCTATGATGAAGCTGTTAAAAAAAAAAAAGAATAGGACACTATAAAAAAATATATTATCATTTATTCCTATATATCTAATAGAGGAGATTTATATCTCTTTTATTTATATCGCATTACTTTCTAATTCCTTTTTTGGGTAGGAAATAAGAATCATATAATATTAAGAATTTTTATAGAAAAATAAGAATTGATATATATTCAAATAAAAAAGGAGCAAGCCACGTAGGAAACTACTTGTCGTCTCGTTAAACCACGTAGAAAAGAAAAAATATGAAGGGATAAGTATTAGGATACGACGTTATTATATATATATATATATATGATTGTACTTCATATTAGGCGGACCCATTTTTCAATAAGACATTTAGCGTGCGAATTGTGAAAGACCCCATCTAAGTCTTGAGATTTTTTCTATTATAAAAAAAAAAATTTGAAATTTTTTCCCTTTTAAAATTTTTTAGATTTACTCGACTAGAATTTCATGTTGCCATCAATTGGGGCTCACAAGGAAAAAGACTATTCTGCAACATTAACAACAGGAGGAGTAAATTGGAAAATAATAAGAACAATGAAGGACTCAGTATTCAAATCCCGATTTACTTCCCTCAGAATTTTTTTTAATAATAAAATAGAATAATTTTATTAATCATGAGATCAAATCTGCAACAAGTGCAGAATTAACCAGCATACAAATGGTTCCCTCAGAATTCAAGTCGATAATCAGGTATCAATGTCCATCATTTTATGAGTGGATCCCAATAAACAATATATATCTCAATCCTGCGGTTCTATAGTGGAAATGTGAAAGCCTTCCAGGTCAATAGAATTTCGAGCCTCTAAAAGTTAAAAGAGGAAAAAAAAAAAGAAAAAGAAAGAAAAACGTGAAATATGGGAATTGGGAGATGCAAAATTCATAAGGGTGTAACTTTTCCTGAATTTGTAATTGAGATTGGGATTACTATTCATGGATTAGCCAATGTAGTGTTGGCATTTTTATTCCAATGCAAGTGTGGAACTAAAATACCTTTTTAATCAATGACACAATTAGTTGATTTTTTTTTTCTTTTGAAAATTATAAGCCGCAATTAGTTACAAGTGGTAATTGCTAAGTCCTCTGTGTTATCTGTAACATGTGACTTTGTTATGGAAAAAGAAGAAAGAGGTCTAAAGAATTAGAGGAAAGAGTTAGTTTTGCTGTAACAATCAGCTACTAAATGATACAATACTTTTTATTGTGATCATTGTGATCAAATGTTCTGTTGATCATAAGAAACTTCTTGTACACCAATACTCACTATATTAGCACTAGTTTTACTAGTAAAGAATGGTTAGAGTATTAGTTACAACTACATTTTAGTGAATTACCCAGCTATATTTTCCATACTCAGTAGAATTTTCCGGTACAATAAAATAAATGCATCTTCGTCCTAAATATCAATGGATACGGAGCTCAGTATGAAATTGCTTGGAAATGCAAATACTACAAAATCTAACTGAAATATTATGGTAAGAATTTCCTTCAATCAGTAAATCAAAAGAATTTCCTTTTAATGGTGCAACTCTTACTCCACTCTTTGGTAGCGACTCATCTTCCCCAAAAATGAAAGGAGAGTATAGGTGAATTTGGTTGAGTAGGATCCTTTCATTTTCCAGATTCAAGTAGATTTCTTTTCTTAATTTTTATTTGATCCAAGCCAAAATTCAATACATCATTCATGTAATGAATTGCATTATCAAATATCACTACTTTGTGCAGGACCTTGCCATCTAATAAATGCGCATACTTGATTATTTTACGTATTACATTTACTAAAGGCTATTTATTAAGATCTTCTCCAAAAACGTGGGGCAGGTACATTTTTTGTTTGGTATATGATTGTGTCTAGTTATTATACTTCTTACAGTAATTAGAGTATACGTAGATAAACCGTTATAACATTTGGTATCCACAATCAATAGCAACTAATAAAATGAAAAATTCATGTGCAAAATGATATAATGTAAATATATGCAAGAAATATAATAACGTTACACAATTGCATCTGCCCCGATTCCCTCTAGGTCATTTGTTTCAATTAGAAACTGATGAAGTGACTTTTTTTTCTTTTTTTCTTTTTTTTGGTTTAGGTCTGGAGGTGTTCAGACTAGGTTCCTCTTCATTGTACTTGAAAATTTTCTATCTATTACACATCTATAAAATGAATTTAGAAATTATTCTTAAAAATCAACACTGTTCAGAATGGATTTTATCACTTTTGTTAGTTACACATAAAATTTCATATGCAATTGACTAAGCTTTGCCATCTAATCAATCATTACTAATTTTGTTATGATTTTGACCTATTTTTCACCATTCAAATATTTCTTACAAATTGAATGCCAAAAAATTGTCAATAGAACATAATTTTTGAAGTATTTTGATTTAGAGATCAAAAAAGAAATGTAATGACATACCGGATGATTTTATAGTGGAAGGATTGTATCAAATAATAAGGTAAGAGCGGTTGTAAGTAAGAGGTCTTGGATTCAAATCCTTTTACTTACAAAAAAAAGAGAGGGTAGAATATGAAATTGAGTTTTTGTAATGGATAACCTATGAGCACTCGTTAACACATTTAACATTTATCTAACATACCATATATATACACATACTAATAATTATTACCTTCCATTAGATTTATACTAGTGTGAATGCCCGTGCCACACATGGTGCTAAGATTATTGAAAGAAATTAAAAGAGAGGGTGAATTTAAAAAAAAAAGTAAAAAGATTGTACTAACATAATTAAAATCTAAGATTTGTCTAGCAATAGTTTAAAGTATGATAAAATGTGTACATCATTCAAAAACTGCATTACATCATTCAAAAACTGCATTTTTGTGGAAGATGTATCTTGAAATAATAATAGAAATTTATATTAGAAATGAATGATGGGTCCATAGAAATAACTGTTATCACATGTTTTATTTGATTTCAATATGAAATACTTACAAACATTAAATTGAACATGAGGCATGTATGTTTTTTGTTTGGTATGAGTATGTCAGTTATTATATGCTTTCTTATAGTAATTACTTTATACTTAGACGAACTGTTATACTTCTTCCAACATTTGCTGTCCACAATCAATAGCAACTAATAAAATACAGAATTCATGTGTGCAATAAGATAATGTAAATGTACACCAAAATATGCAAGAAATACAATAATAGTACACAACCGCACCTACCTCAATTCCCTCTAGATCATCGGTTTAATTCAGAAACTGATGATGTGACTTTTTTCTTTTTCTTTTTTTCTTTTATTTTTTTTGGGGAATCAGAATACCAGAAACCTACTGCTATTTTGTCTTTATTTGTTGCTGCAAATTCTTTTTAGCAAACAAAAATATATGGGAACATAGTCAAATTAGAATAGTTGGATTTTAGACAGAAGGGTGGGTTGAAAAAGCTTATTTGTGTTATGATCCCAACAAACATATGAATTATTGAAATTTTACTTTGAATATATTGTCGTAGTAATTTGAAACTTGTACGCACAATTGCTCAAAAAAAAAAAAAAAAAAACTTGTACGCACATGAGTGTGAAATATACAGCTGTAATTAATAAAAGTTGATTTTCAAGCATCCAATTGACATTGACCTGTACTTAGGCGAAATGGTAGAAATCTACGGTCTCGTCGGCCCATTTATCGTTGGCCCAAATGGAAGTGAGTAATCTTACTTCATTGATTTACAGAAAAACCATTCCTTAATCAATCAGATTCTTTCTATTTCAATATTTCCATTACAATCCTTTAAAGTTTCTTTTATAAGCAGCTTACATTGGTATTGGTGGCTTAGTTTCGGGTAAGGCCTCTGATTTATAGTTGAAAACTCTGTCTATTGGAATATACTAGAAGTCAGTTAATCATAGCAAAGTCTTGTTTTTCTCTTCTTCTATTTCAGTTCTGCTTATTGCAGCAAAACATGCCATTGGCATTATCCTCTTGTTTCCTTTCCTCCTTTGTCGGTGTCGTCGAAGGCATTTATCGAGGCATGATACAATAGAAGATTTCCAACAAGCAAACAACAACCTCATGCCCATTAGGTACTCATACAAAGAAATAAAGACAATGACAAACAATTTTGAGGAGAAACTAGGTGAAGGAGGCTATGGTTTGGTTTGCAAAGGCAAATTGCGTAGTGGAGGGGCAGTTTGTGAGGATCCGAAATTTTTTTTAAATTTTTTAAATTTTTTGTCATTATTTTATTTCCTTGCATACATTTTCTATATTTTTCTTTAGTATTTTCATTTTCTAGATATTTTATAAGGGAGTCAAGTTTTTAAATTATTTTCTAGTATAAGTTAGTTCATGTGACATTAGTAGTGTATATTGGATGTGGGATCCGTTAGTGCGTTAAGTGCGATAAATTTTTGATAACTAGGTGAAGTTGCATAAAGGGATATTATTTTATAAGGTGCTAGAGGTTAGTTATATGGTGTAACCATTGGAAGTGAGAAGATGAGATTAAACCTCAAGAGGCCATGTGTCATGAAACTATTTGAAGATGGACTTTGACCAAGGTTACTTAACTTTATTAAAAATCAAATATTAACCAAAGTTTCCTTATTTTTCCTTCTTGCTTGGCTGAACTTCTTGAGGGAGAGAAAGGGAGAGAACTTCATCTTGTATTCTTGCTACAATCTTGAATTCCAACCATCAATATTGCAAACTACTCCACAAAAGTTGCTTACTAAGGAGGATTGGAGGTGTTGATGGAGTGATTTTGGAGGGAAAAGTGTTAAGCTACCATCTTTCTTGAGGTTACAAGGTACTTTGGCAAGAAACTTCCTTTTCTTTCATTTATGTGCAAATTAGTGGCTTAAGGTTGTAGTTTTGGTGACTTTTTGAGAAAATTGCATGGTTTGGAGTAATGTTATGGTAAATTTCAGTTTTATGGTAAAAATTCTGCTCATATGTGATGTTTGAGGGTTGTCCATGCTTTGATGGCTTTGCTATATGAATTATTGAGGTTTTATGTGCTAGTTTCCTTTGAATAAAGAAATTTCCAGCTTGGGTGTCTAAATTTCAGATTAGGGTTTCTAAATTTGACTTGATTGTGGTTGGGTTTTGGAGCAATCAATTGGCTATAATTGAAGGGTGTTGTGACCCTAATTAAGTGTGTTTAATAGCTTGTGATTTGTATGTGCAATTGAGACTTTTTGGATGAACTTTGGTATTGATTGTAGGATAGAAAAGTAAAGGAATTTAAGGGATAGTGCTGTCCAAATTTTGAGTCCATTTGGCTCCTTTAAGTTGGGTTGATTTTGGGTAGAAATAAAGGGCTTTGGGGTTGTACATGTCTTTAGGACCAATGACAGGTTGTCGAGCCTGTGCAATAATAAATACCTATTCAAGAAAAATACAAATTTTGTAATTAGCGGTGAACAGGGTCGAATCCACAGGGACTAGAGATAATTCGTTTTTTCTAGAGTTCAAAGCATGGGGGGTTTTGAAAAATATAAAATAACTAATTAACCAACTAATGGAAATAAACAGGAATTAATCAATAATCAATACGACTCTAGTCAAATTTGCAACTTTTCAGAAACGTTCCATTCAACTGATCATTGATGCAAAGATAATTCAATTACTCATTAATAGATTGGTTATAGTTGTCATACACGCGATAAACAACCAGCCTTCCCTTACTTTTTCGATAGTCAACGTACGACCATTAACTATTTCCCTAACCAAGAAATAAACTTAGGTACGACCATAGGATTTAATTTTTCGATTGCAATAGGAATTAGAAAAGGCCAGCCCTAACTAACAAACACGCTACGAGGGTTCGTTTAAGTTAGATCATACATTTTCTTAACATGAAACCAATCACGCTAGTCGCCACTGGTATTAATCAATAGAACAATTACGGATTCAATCAATTAATATGACAGTAGATTATTAGGTTAATTCGAATACCGGGTCCTTGACATTCAAATAACGAAACAACCATAAGCAATTAAACCAGAAAACATACAAATACCAATGAATAAAAGAAATAAGTAAAATAATTCGATCTCACAAATATTTGGAACCGCATCTTCAAATTAACCCTTGACTAGAAAATGGAGATTTAGCTACGCATCCTAGAAGAAATTCCACCAGACTCCATGGAATCTGGTTGCAATTGGTTTTCCTCTAAAACTAATGAAAACAAGCCGAATTAGCCCAAGCAAGTGACGGCTCCCTTTTTGCTTCCCTTGCAGTCGAAAACTAATCAATTCCTTCCCGCGAGATTGTTGCTGGCCAACTCTTGATTACGTGGGAATCCGGCTTTTCCTTCTTCTTTTTTGTTTCCTATTCGGACTCTACTACCAATAACACCGCATGTTTCCTAAATAGAAAAAGGAAACTACTAAGATAATATTCCAAGTTCCCTAATCCAACACTAAGACTAATAATGAAGATTAAAATCTTCAAAATCTTCCTTCAAAAATTGCCTTGAATTCGACTTGGACTTGGAAACCAGCCCCGAACGTGCCACCATCAAATTAACTGAAAAATTGCCACTTTTAATCATAGTTTGCTCCTTTTCCTACAATTAGCACCATTAACCAAATATAAGTAGAATCCGACAGTTACAACAATATTTGGCTAAAATCAAGGGAAGAATAATTATAAATATAATAAATTTAGCAACAAATTATGACCTATCAACCAACTGTTACCTTTTCACTCCAAAGCCGCACTTTTGCTTTGCATTAGTAATTCATTTAGATAGGTACGACTCGTAATTGAGTCTCAATTGTTTTTCCTTGGTTGTTCTAGGACGTGTCGGTGATCAAGGGCGTACTTCAGGACGAAACTTGTGAAGTTATTTTGCTTGACTGGTGAGTGTACCACTCGAATGAATGGTTGTTTAACTGGTTTACTTGTACATGCAATCTGTGACTTCTGTTTATTCTGAACGAAATGGGGGTGTACTTTATCACACTCGTTTCTCTCGTCTGTCTGTTGTGGTTACTGTATACGTTTGAATCTGTTACTTGTATATGATTTGATGTCGTTTGGAGGTTTGTATCTAACGACCCTGCTGGGACCTCTGAGGTCAAACCCTGTGGCTAGTTACTCGAGTCGATCGGCAAGGGCCTGGTCGATTAGGTAACGAATCCTGGGTCTTCTGTTTTGTCGAGTAGAGTGTTATCTTTTCGACTAATCGGTATACTCGAGTATTACCATCTCTGTTCCTGTGTGGTGTTCGGTCCTGGCAAGGGGTACGTTTGGTGGATGGAAATTGGTGTAAAGTAGAGTCTACAGTCATGGTCGTATCTTCAAACATTGACAGAGGGTCAACGGGCTTGGATCAAGTAATGAAAAGGGGAAATTGGCACTTAAGAGTCATCTGTATCCTTTACTCCTGGTTTAACTGTGATGTTCCTTTCTATCTATTTGATGTCTCTATTTAATTGATCCCAAGTGTACTTCCGTGATTCCTGATTGCTTGACTTGTTGGTACCTCATTGGGCGAAAGCTCAACCCTCGTTACATTTGTTTTCCTTACAGGGTACAATATTTTGAGACCATGATTTTGGAGATAAGAGTTGAGCTAGTTATAGATATTCTTTTGTTAAACTCCTCTGTATTAGTAAACCCTAATTGTATTTTGATCTAATGTAATGTTTTGACTTGTAATAACTCCAATGTATATATTTATACAAGCATATGATTTCATATATTAGTTGAGAGGGCAAGTTTCTATGGTTATGTGAATTTATTTAGTATTTGTTGGTTAAACCAGGCTAGTGCAGAACTTGAACGAGGAAGAAAAGAGTTTTGGCGGGAATCCACTGCAAGGGAATCCGGCCAGATCTTGGCCGGATACATGGCTGGATTAGTAGGGGAAGTCAAAAAAAATTGATTTGTTCTTTGCCTTGTATCCGGCTAGGAATCCGGCCAAGTTTTGGCTGGATTTTGACGTGGCCGCGGTCCTTTTCATTTTCATTGGAGCATTTAAACGAAACTCTACAGCACTATATGGTTCGGTTATCGTGCTTTCGGCTTAGTAGTCCTAGCGAGAGTTGGGCAGGCAGTCCGCTAACCCTTAGAGTACGCCCTAGGAAAAGGTGGGGTTGTCACATAGTTGCTGTCAAGATGCTGAACAAATCAAAAGCTAATGGCCAAGAATTCATCAATGAAGTTGCAGCTATTGGAAGAATACACCATGTGAACGTGGTTCGGTTAGTGGGATTTTGTGTTACTGCCTCAAAACATGCTCTAGTGTATGATTACATGCCAAATGGCTCTCTGGACAAGTTAATTTTCTCAAATTGTCAGAATGGTTCTCCATTGAGTTGGAAACAAGTTTGTGAGATTGCAAAGAGGATTGCTCGTGGCATCGAATACTTGCATCAGGGGTGTGATATGCAAATTCTGCATTTTGATATTAAACCGCATAACGTCTTACTTGATGAGAACTTTGTTCCAAAAGTTTTGGACTTTGGACTTGCAAAACTTTACCCGATGCAAAAGAGTATTGCAACTCTTACTACTGCGAGAGGAACTTTAGGTTACATGGCCCCGGAGTTGTTCTACAAAAAGATTGGAAGAGTCTCACACAAGACAGACGTTTACAGCTATGAAATGTTAATAATGGAGATGGTTGGGAGGAGGAGAAATGTGGATGCTCATGCTGAGCATTCTAGTCAAATATACTTCCCTTCATGGATATATGACAAATTCGATCAAGTGGAGGAAATGGAAATCGGAGATCATGCAACTGAAGAAGAAAAGACAATTACACGAAAATTAATTTTGATTGCCTTGTGGTGCATACAGATGACACCTGAGGATCGTTCTTCGATGAGAGAAGTTTTAGAAATGCTTGAAGGTGATGCTAGTGATCTAAAGTTGCCTCCTGAACCATTGTTTTACCCTGTGGATTCACCCATATCCATGCAAAGAAACAACAATAGTAGTTCTCCTGATGAGTCAACGGCACCCCTGTGTAGCTCTGTGTCTTTAGAAATAGAGCAGATGGAAGACTCAGGAGTACTAGTACTTCCAGTGAAAACTTTGCAGTGGATTTGTCCTTCAAACTCTTAAACATGCAACCTAGTACCAGATAAAATGGCAGACTAATATACTAGCTAGTTTAACTTAATAATTTCTACAATTGAGCTCCAGTGCATTTTTTTTCTTAAACTATGTTATCTAAAACAGCAAGCAGGATATCTAAATATTTGCTGCAAATTCATAAGATCAATCTTTTTTGTGGTGTTGTTGTTACTGGTCAAATTGTTAGTTTAATGTAGTCCTGTGGCCTTTTTTCTTTATCCTTGGATTTTTCCTTGGAAACGTGTCTTTCCTTTTCATCAACATGCTGAATTTGGGCTAGCCCAAGTTCACTCATGCTTTACAATCTTTAAATTTGAATTTTCATTAATTTTATGGATTTAACCAGCAATCTCTCATAATTTCAATGATGCAATGAGAAAATATAGTATTTACTCTAATTGATCTACTAATAGATGTAAAATACATCATTAAATGAAAAGCTTTAAATAAAATTTTTTATTACAATTGGCCTGATTAAATTTTTTTTTAAGTGTAAGTGGAATGTCGTGAACTCGAAACCTCTCACTTACACTCCCTCCTCCGGCTATATTAAGTTGAATTGTATAGGACTTGCAATTTAGATTATAAAATTGAGCATTTCAGTAAAAATAATCTTACATTGATACATGTTCTTTATGTGTTACCTTACAGCCTACGGATATACAAATTACTATAGGATTTAGATAAAGAAATGTATACATCAACACAATTAGGGGTGAGCAAATTCGGTACGTACCAAATTCGTACTCGATTTTAAATTCAATTTAGTATTTTGAAATCGGGTATTCGGTAATTTGATACAAAAGCGGTATTTACCAAATTCGCCAAATTCTAATGTAGTATGAAATAAGTAATGAGATTTTCAATTTGGTAATAACCAATTTCGAATTCAAATTCGATAAAATGAAATAGGGTATCATATTACCACATTCGAATACCAAATTAGTTTATAAAATTGTATAATATATAGGTAAATGCTATTAGTATTAATATATTACATAGGTAAAGGCTATTAATAATAGATAGTATATAGTACAATCATGTACCTTAATAATAAAAATATATAATGATGTACAATATACTATTTTAGTATTTGTTATATGATTATAATAATACAAATATACAATAATAATAATAACTATAATACTTATCCTTTTATACATAACTAGAATTAGATAATAAGTATAAGTATAGTAGTAAATATTACACATATTTAATAATTAGAATTTAGATATTGGTTCATCATTCATGTTTGGATTATTAAATATTTAAATGTGTAACCTTTAATTTACAAGCATTGGTATACTCTAAAATTACATCACATAAATAATATGTGAATTAATGTTCTCTAATTACTAATCTTGTTTAAACGTAGACAACTAAGCACTATGATTAAGCAGTCTAAGCGAATGTATATGAATTACATGTCAACAAATTAGTGTATTAGCTTTCACCATTGAAAGCAATCAAGTTATTTGTGAATAAAGCATTTAAAGTATATAAAAAATAAGAATAAATGTAAGTGTAATGCAACACATAATCAGTAAATTATAAGTGACTAAGTGTATACAACTACACAAGTGGGTCCCATTTTAATTATGTGTAAATTACTATCCAATTCGGTTATGACTGATTTCATGATCGTTTCCGAATTCAATTTGGTAACCGAATGAATTCGGTTATTCCTAATTCAAAATTGAAAACAGTTTAGAGTTTTACAAGTGAAATAATCAAAAAAATCAAATTCAAATAACTGAATAACCGAATTTGTACCAAATGGGCCGAGACTAGATATGGCTGAACCTTTCGTAGCCTAAACTTGGTTCACTTTGAAAACTTTTAGATTTCTTAACCCGCCAAGCTTGATATGGCTGGGCTTGGATTGCCTAAGATCAACCCACTTTAAAATTGAGCTTCAATAAAAGGCCCAAAAATTGAACCTTGCTTGATCTCACATTAAGCTCAACCCTAGTTTGGGTAGGACAAATATAACGAAGTCAATTTGATTCAGCGTTATTAACAGTTCTAGTGCTATGGCAAGTGAAAAATAATATCACCTAATATCAGCTCATAGCTCTCGGTCATTTATTGTTGATTGCAAATCTCTCTCCATAATGACTTTTTTTTGCAAATTTAATAGGCAAAGAACCTTAACTGCGGCAGGCAGTAATAGACTCTATCACTTATGAAAAATCTTATTACAATCTAGACTAACTTCTTGAATAACTACTTAATAAATCTAGCAGTTGAGAGCTATTATTACTTTACCCCTTAACGTTTGGTGCTATTTGAATTTTTCTCTTAACGTTACTTTTTAGTCACTTTACTCTCAACACTAATGATCAAACCTAACGGAGTCTGTTAATTCAAGTGAAAAGACTTGTTTATCCCTTAAAATTGTTATCATTTTACCCTCATATAACTATAGCTTCATTATTAATTTACCCCCTAAAGTTATTTTTCAGGCAATTTATCCCACTATTAAACCAATTTAGGAAGTTAAAAAACTTTAGAAGAATGCAGCCTCCTCTTTGTATAATAAAAATAATAAAAAATTTAGAGTGGCTTTTTTCCTTTTTAGTATCAAGACAAAAAGTCAAAACATTAATTTCTTTCTTCTTGGCAATTTTATTAATATTGAAAAAAATTAGAAAGATAGGGGGCAGAGAGAGAGAGAGAGAACTCAATTCTTTTTTTTAAAAAAAATACAAATAAGAAAGAATTCAATGTTTTAATTATTTTAAAATTACTTTACTTTTCGGTTTACCACCCAATTCCAATCCTAATCCCGATGACGTTGAAGTAATACGATAATATTAGATTCTTCCTTATTTTCTTTCTTCGCAAAATGTAATTTTTTGTCTCTTTCTCTCCTATTTCTTTTTCCTTTCTTAGTATGAATAAGTGTGAAAAAAGAAATTTAAGAAAACTCTTTTATTTTTATGTTTTTGAAACTCTTAGAGTGAAAAAAAGGAAGAATAACCATTCCAACTTTTTTTTTTATTTTTAATTATATACAAAAAAGGGGTAAATACATTTAAAAATTTTTGAACATACTAGTTACATTAACAATGGGGTAAAATGTCTAGAAAATAATATTAAGGATTAAAGCGATTGTATCACTATAATTAAAGGGATAAAGTGATAATAACAATGTAGTAAAACGACTGTATCACTATAATTCAGGTTTGATGGAGAGATCAGTTTTCTCTGTGTAGATAAATAGTTTGGAGTCAACTCTACGCCTGACTGTGTTTTGCATCTATGTTTTTGAACTCAGATCGGACCGGTCGGTTCGACCAGTCAAAACGGGAACCGGTCAAGTGTCCGGTCCGAGTTGTTCTTCAAAACTAGGAAGACTAAAAACCTGGTCAAATTTGGTCAAAAGTTGGGTTTGACTGGAAAAAATAGAAAAAACCGGTTCAACCAGAGCATTTGTTAAAAAAAGGTTAAACTTTTTCAATATTATGTTTTGACCCCTAAATTGTTAAAACTTATTAATATACCTCAAATATTTCATACTTTATAAATGTTGTCCTAATTTGATGTTATTTTTCAATCAAATCCATAATTTTTATTCTAAACTTGTTAATGTTCATTAAATAATATAAATTGCTATTTGATTGTTTTAATTTCTTTGTATTTTCTTGTTAAATATATTTGAAATATCAAATATATATGAATATACCTTTATTAATATTAACATACTTTTAGGTATTTTATATACTATATTTTAATTTTTAAATAATTTTTATTTATGACATCATCCGGTTCAACCCCGATCGAATCCGGTTGAACCTATTGACCCCTGACCCCTGAGCTTGGCCGAGTCGATACCTGATCCGGTCGAACCCATTGACCCCCGAGGGATCCGTTTGGATTAGTTATTTTTGGGGATGTTTTTGAAAAACTTTGCTGTAGCAGAGTTTTTAGAGTATAATTTGAAATATTTTTAGAAAATATTTTGGGATATTTAAGAGTCGAAGAGTTTTGAAAATATATTTTGAGATTTTTTTTTTAAATTTTAAAAAAAATTAAACTAATTTTTAGATTACCTTTTAGAGTACTTTTTAAAAAAATTTATTGCATTTGAAAAATTAGTTTTTGAAAAACATTCCAAAAACAGAGGATTCCAAACAGATATGCATAAGTTGTGTTTTGAATCTATCAGGAAATTGCTTTGATAATGACTTGTAATGGTGGGGTAAGGAGAAAAAAGATAGAGCTAGTCTTGTGTGAATTGCAACAGTCGACCATTGAGTGACCTGAGCTCATATTCTACTTTGATGAGTTTTTTTTTTTTTTTTTTGCTGCACTTCCTTCAATTCCTCTAGAATAATATAATACATCACAAAGTAACTAGTGCAACAGTAGTTTCTAGTTATTATCGAGTTAGCATTTGGAAGTAACATTCACAACAGTTTCTGTTGATTAGACCTTTTTTCTTTTAAATTTATAACTACGACTGGTTAGGGGAGGATTTGGCTTGGTAATTGGAATTGATTTATAAAAGTTGATGACAGTCAATTTTTATTAACCAGCTTCTTCAAAGCAAAAGTCCAAGGGCTAATTAAGAAGATTTGGCCCCAGAGCTGGGACTTGTCTTTTAGGGACCATGGGATAGAGTAACAGATTATGCTTGATTTCTCAAACCATTTACAGACAGTGGACAGTGGGCACAATACAGAATTACATTGTACCATCTTGGAAGAAGTTTTCTGCAACTTCGCATAGTAAATATAGCTTGTGGGAAGACACCACGAATTTATGATTCATGTAAAAGTTTGGAGTTTGTATTTATGACTCATAGTCATATCATAAAATTTTTAATCTAGGTATACTTGCCCTGAACTTGGCACATTGGCCATTTGTGAGACAGGCAATTCAACATTTGCAAAAATGTTTTATTTGCCCTTGCCGGAATCAATTAGTTTCATAAGTCTGTTGTTTATGTTTTTCCCTTTTGCATTTTCTTCAACTTATTTTAC